CCGCCTCCCAAAGCCCGCGGAAGTGGGGGGCATTCGGTGGAATGAAGTTCCACGATATTTCCAACTCGCTTAGAAATTGCACAATCTGATCTTGCGTTTGCGATTTATTGTAAAATTTGTACAGCTCTTTGAGCTGTCTGTTAGCGCCCACGAAGTTGGTTCCGTTGTCCGAGAACACGTGGGCGGGTTTTCCCCTTCGGGATATGAAACGTCTAAATGCGCCTTCAAAGAGCGTGAGAACTCATCGGGAGATATGAATTTGCCCGACGCCCTGGCACGATGAGCCTTGGAGAATCGTAGACAGTAAGCTACGATTCGACATGTCTTATTCAATTTAGAGAATTTGTTTAAGAGATCATTGATCACGGAATGCTTGACCTCGGCGGCAGTGGCGACTACCGCTTTCCTCTGCTCTGGTATATCTTCGTTCAATTTTGCGAAGGCATCGCTGGGCCACAGATCATCGCGTAACCGCAAGAAAGGGGGCCCGTGCCACCACAGGGCCGAGTTGCTTAAGTTGTGCGGATCTAGTCCGCGAGAAAGAATGTCGGCAGGATTGTCCGGCGAACTAACATGACGCCATTCCTCGATTTTAGTAAGACGTTGGATTTCGCCGATTCTATTGGCCACAAAGACCGACCATCTTCGAGAAGGGGAGGCGATCCAATTTAGGCTGATTGTCGAGCCCGATCAAAGGAAGATCTGTATGTAGGATACATCCAATGACGCTTGTACACTTGCAATCAGACGAGCCAACAGCAAGGCCGCCGACAACTCGAGTCTGGACAACGACGTGGCCTTAATAGGGGCCACACGAGATTTTGAGCATAACAACTCGGAATGGTACTCCCCGGAACTTGACTCGGTGCGAACATATATACAAGCTCCGTACGCGCTTTGGCTAGCGTCGCAGAAGCCGTGCAACTGTATGAAGTGGAGGTCCGAATTGAGCCTCACTCCCCGGGGGATGCGTATTTGGTTCAGGTCGAATAACTGAGCTCTGAGCTTTAGCCATCGCGCATGGAGGTTTTGTGGGACTGACTCATCCCAGTGGACGCCGGATTGCCAGAGTTCCTGTAGTATCAGCTTGGCAATGACGATCGTGGGGCCTAATAGTCCCAATGGATCGAAACACCGAGATATTTCGGATAAGATTACCCGCTTGGATACGACGTTGCACGTGGGCTCGAGCTCGCATGAAAATAGAAGCATGTCCTGGGATTGACTCCACCTAATGCCCAGAACAGAAGAATCGTCGCTGTTTAAACTAATCAATTCACCGTTATGCTTCCGTAGGGATTCTAACAATTGAGGGCAGTTTGACGCCCATTTGCTAAGCTCAAAGGATCCTGCCCGCAAAAGTCGTATGACCTCATCTCGAATCTGTTCAAGCTCGCGAATGGAGTCGGCCCCGGTGAGCAAGTCATCGACGTAGAAATCACGTTTGACGCAAGGCGATCTAAGAGGAAATTCAGCGGAGTGTTGCTCCGCTAAATGGATGAGACATCTTGTGGCTAGAAATAAGGCTGCAGACGTCCCGTATGTTATCGTTAACAGCTCGTAAGTGCCGACCTCGTCTTCAGGATTGTTTCTCCAAAGAATTTTCTGTAAACTCGTTTGGGCCGGATCCACTAGCACCTGTCTGTACATTTTTACAATATCCGTGGTTATCACGTAGCGAAAGTATCGAAAACGTATTAGTATTGAAGCGAGGTCTTGCTGAACCACTGGGCCCACTCCCAAGACGTCGTTCAGGGAAACCCCCGAGTCGGACTTGCATGAAGCATCAAAGACGACGCGGAGCTTCTAGGAGCCCCCGGTGGGCTTGACCACACAATGGTGAGGTAGATAGAATGTTGGCGCGCCCTTGCCAGAAGGCATGGTTACCCTCCGCATGTGCCCTAAGGCTAAGTACTCTTCCATGAAGCGGTTGTATTGAGACTTTAGTGATGAGTTGCGCGAGAAACGTTTTTCCAAAGATCTCAATCTCTTGAGTGCAATTTCTTGAGAGTCACCTAATTTGGAAAGAAGATGTTCTTTGATGGGAAGCTTTACTATGTATCGGCCTTGCGAATTCTGCGAGACGTTATCGACAAAATGTTTTTCGCAAAATCTTTCTTCGGGAGAATAAGTACTTGAGGCCGCGAAATTTTCATCCAGTTGCCAAAGACGGTCAACTTGGTCATGCAATTGCCGGTTAGTCACTATCGCGTGATTGGAATGCACCCATGGGGGCGAGCTCACTGCGCCGAAGCGACCGGCCAAAACCCAACCTAATCTGGTCTTTCGTAGCAATGGATGGTCGGTCGAACCGCCTATCTGCCCGACACACAGCAATTCCCAGAATAGTTCGGCACCTATCAGAATATCAATTTCAGAGGAGACATTGAAGTTCGGGTCAGCCAAGGATATATTGCGCGGAAGCTTCATGGCCTTACGCTTGAACGAAGCGACCGGAAGGTTCTCAGTCACCCGTTCGGAAACGATGCATTCCGTTATAGCGGTGTAAGCGCTTACACGAGATTGTAATCGTATCTTAGCCGATTGCAGTAGTGGACGTCGTCGCGGAACCGTTCACACCGGTGATGGTAACGTTTAATGGCCGAGGCTTTAGTCCCAGGGTTGCTAGAAATTGTTTAGAAATGAAATTGGCCTGCGAACCGCAGTCCAATAGCACGCGACAGGGTCGAGGAGTGCCCTGGCAATCGAACGCGTAAACGACGGCCGTTGATAGAAACACATCGTTACCATCGGAATTATATGAGGCGTGGGTGGACGTAACTTGCATAACATTAGCAGGCTTAGAATTTCCGGAACCCTCGCCATTCTAATCAGTAGCCGCGAGGGGAGCCGGTGTTGAATGCAAAAGAGTGTTATGCCTGACCTGACATACCTTGTATTTGCCTGAAGGGCATCTACCTGCACTGTGAGACTTGGATCTTAAACAGTTGGTACAAAGTTTTCGACTGCGAATTTCGAGGTTTCTTTGCTGAACGGGGAGAGCTAAAAAATCCTTGCAATGATAAATTGAGTGTTCTCCCTTGCAATAGTTGCATTTTGTTTTAATGGTCGCGAGACAAGACAGTTGACGCTTCGAATCAGATTGAGAATTTCTAGCCGCCCCTTTCGCGACGCTGTTACTTGGTTTTGTGCTTGCTTCCAAAGCTTGACAGTAATGGTTGAGAAAATCGAAGAACTTGTTACGACCTAACTAGGTCGAACCTGAAATCCTCGTCAGCATTTTTATGCAGACGTGCAAGTAATCGTTACAAAATTAAGTCACCTACTTTGTAGCACAAAGGAGATGACACACAAAGCAATTTTTGTTAATCACGCATAAATTCGGTCTACTTAAGAAAGATAAAAAGGTAAGCCTCGAACATCTCGGGGCCGTTCCGAAAAGTGAAGTGAGAGTGCGCGTACTGTGAGAGTCTCCATCTAATCTCTAAACCTCAACATATTGTACAGTACGTAGACTTATAAGTGAATAATAAAAGCTCTTTGTACAACTCGAACGTTGGCCTATAATTATTGGAGGACATCGAGCCTTCATACACCGACACCGCACGTCCAAACTGTGGTTCTGCAACGCCCTGAGCGGCACGTAGTGTCT